CCAATGGTGACTCTTGGCAGTTTCCCATTGGGATGTATTTTTAAACTACAGTTATCAAAAAGTTGTATTTTTAATAGTTTTGACAAAATTAATTTTTGAAATACCATCTAATCCCAACAAAAACATCTTTGATGCAAAAAATTCCGCCAAGTAAAAGATTTTGTGACTGTCCAAACAATTAGTGAAATAAAAGTTTAGCAAGTAAAATTTATAATTAAAATTTTAATAATGTTTGATTTTAAATATTTTCTCTCCTACACAACTCGAAGTACATATTGCAGTTGAAAAAAACAACCCGGGATTAGCTGTTGTTATTCTACATTGCGGCTTATTACATTTCCGAATTAAGTCAATGTTCTTCATAGCATTTTGAATTGTAACAAATAAAATTTAACTTCATAATTAACATTCACAAAAAACGAAATCTAATTACTCGTCATAATAAAAAATTTCTATTTCAGCAATTTAAAAATCTTGGCGTCAATAATGTTTCTAACTTGTAATTAATGAAAGTATTGATGCCAAGATTTTTAAATTGACATTGACTTAATTCGGAAATGTAATAAGCCGCAATGTAGAATAACAACAGCTAAGCCCGGGTTGTTTTTTTCAACTGCAATATGTACTTCGAGTTGTGTAGGAGAGAAAATATTTAAAATCAAACATTATTAAAATTTTAATTATAAATTTTACTTGATAATCTTTTATTTCACTAATTCTTTAGACAGTCACAAAATCTTTTACTTGGCGGAATTTTTTGCATCAAAGATTTTTCTTGGGGATTTTAAAACTTTTTGCGTCATCTCAACTTTTTAATAAATGAAATAATTAATTGTAAAAATATTGTGGTCTTTGATCTAATAATTTAAAATAAAAGACAATTAAGTTTTAAATAATAATTTATTTAAGATATGATTCTTTACAGAAATTTTTACATAATAAAAAAATGAAAAAAGAATACAGGAGAAAATTGATGTTTTGATTTAACTAAAAAATTTTTTTAAACATAAATTAAAAATTAGAAAATAATGTATTAAAGTTTTTAAAACAAATTTCTAGCTTTCAATCCATAATAATATTTCAAAATATTTTACAAATCTGTTAAGTATAGTTTTTAGTCTCTACGTTTGTATAAATGTCGGAAAATCAAATTTTTTTAAGGAAAACTAAAATTTTTAAAAAAATACTTAATGTATTGAAATTGTATGCAATATATATAGAGATTTTAACCCAATGAATAACATTCTAAAATATTTTACATATCCATTTAGAATTTTAATCTTTGCGTTCGTCTACATGTCAAAAAATTTAATTTTTTTTAGAAAAATCAAAATTTTTTAAAAATATGGAGTGCATTAAAAATTCCTAGAATATATATCGAGATTTTAACCCAATCAATAATATTCTAGAATATTTCGCATAACCGTTTAGAAGTTTAGTCTCTGCGTTTGTCTAAATGTCAAAAAATTCAATTTTTTTGAGAAAAATCAAGATTTTTCAAAAAATACTAAGTGAATTAAAATTTCCTGCAATATATATATATAGATTTCAACCCAATCAATAACATTCTAAAATACTTTACATATCCGTTTAGAAGTTTCCTCTCTGCGTTTGTCTAAATGTCAAAAAATTCAATTTTTTTAAGAAAAATCAAAATTTTTTAAAAAATACAAAGTAAATTAAAAATTCCTGAAATGTATATCGAGATTTTAACCAAATTAATAATATTCTAGACTATTTCAGAAATCTATTTAGGAGTTTATGCTCCAGGTTTGTCTAAATCTCAAAAAATTGCTATTTTTCCGGTTTTCCTAGCCTAAATTCTATAAAACTATATAAAATATTGAATAAACTTAACAGAATTCTTTTTTTTTATTCTTTATCCAACGAAAAAATAATGAGGCAAATCGGTTAAGATTTACTCGAGTTATTCGATTTTACCGAAAAACAGCTGATATTTCGAGAATATATTATCGCGATTTTTGCTTTTTACGTGGCGGCGATTCTCTACGGCGAATCTTGATTTTAAAGCGTTCAGGGTGGCGTAACCCCATAATTATTATAAGAATAAAATAATTGTTTCTTAATATGATACGACAAATTTTATTTACTTTTAGTTCTAAAAGTCTAATTCTAGTAAAGCAAGACGTATCAAAATTTTCCAAATTTTGAAAGGAATTCGTCCATTAGTGGTCTAATCCTCGTTAATTTAAAAGCTCAATAACTCGAATTTTTTGTCGTTCCCCTTGAAATTCGATTTATCGAGATTTCACTTTAATTAGATTGTTTTAACCCTCCATGCGTCGCACCTTTTTTTGTAACGCGATCCGTCGCAGGTGAGAAAAATTCTCACCCTCATAAATTAGTGCAAACTTGTTCTAAAATGCCAAATTTTTTTTTAATGTTCATAAGAATTTCTAAACAACCTATTGGCAGTAAAATTAACTTTTATTTTCTGTTAATTATTTAAATAAAAAATTAATGACAAATGAAATCGAGTATACGCAGTCAGTCGCATGGTGAGAAGTTCCCTCACTTCGCGTCAAAAATCCTCGAAATTTGCTGCTTTCAAATTCAATAACAAAAAAATTAAAATATAAAAAAACACAAAAATTGTTTTAATGTAAAGAAGAAGAGTGTTGTGAAAGGTAATGAGAATATGAAATTATAATTTTTTGTATTTTAAAAGTTATAAATAAAAAAAGAAACTAGGTGAAGGAAATTCTCACCATGCGACGGATGGAGGGTTAACTAACATTTTTCTCTTTTAACTACTTTTTTCTGTTCTGTGGAAATTAAAAATCGAGTTTTTTTCGGCGATAGAAAATTATTATTTAAATGCAAAAAATAACATATTTTTTGCTGTTAGGCATACTAGAGATTACAACACATATGTCAAAATGCAAAACACGTGTTTACAAAAAGTAGGTGGTGCGAATATACATGAAGTTGTTTAGCCCGTAGTAGTTAGAATTTATTACCTGGTTATAGCAAGATTGAAGTGTACTTCTTCATCTTTTACATTAAACTTAATAATTTCCTTCAAATGTTTCAGGTCCTGCTACGATCGATGCAAATGAAGGAGAAAATTAACCGTTTTCGGTAAAACCGACTTCAAGTGACTTTATTTTTTTTTTAATTTAATACCATTAATATATATTTAATACTCTTTTGGAGATCTCCCATTTTGATAAATCGTTTTTGTAATTCATTTTCTTGATAAAAATATGTTTATGTAATTTTGTTTTAATATATTTATAATATATTTATAATTTTATTGTATTCGTCGAGACTGATATAATTTAAGTTAATATATTGTGATATATTGTGATCTTAAAAATTAAGAGTTAAAAAATTATGTTCAAGCATTACATATACTTATAATAACTTATAATAATGTTCTGATTATTTCTAAGAAATTATGCAGAACGATTACAACCCAGGTAAAAATGTTTAGATCAATTTTCGCACAAATCGTACAGAATTCGGGTTAATCAATAGTAATTCGTGAAAACTTTAAAACAGTTCGTTCGTAATTTGATAGGAATTATGTACATAATTGTTACCCAAATTTTTTTCGACCACTTATAGTTTATATAGTTATATTTGTGCTCTAGATTTGATAGTAATTTTGTACATTATTGTTCACGTACAATTTAAAAAAATTTAATTATACTTTTCTGAACGAATTTTGTACAATATTCGTCTAAAATACTAACAAATTTCAAGCAAAATTTCTAAAACTTTAATCGAAATCTAAAATTTTTGAAAAAAGTTTTTGGGCTTCAATTACATGCGGAATTGAAAAATTTCGCCCCTTTTTCCAAAGAAATTTTGTGTAGATATTACGGACAGAGTCCCTTACGAATTTTGTACGAATCATTTTCACCTGGGAAACATGTTACTGCACTGGATATTATGCAAGATCCAGTGTAGAAACATATTTAGGATCTTGTGCATATTCCTTTCCTAGAGTTTTCCTGCAAAATCACACTTAAAAGATCTTGTACAAGTTCCTGTAACAGTTCCTGCACGAGATCTCTTATTCTTAATATTATAGTGCTCGGGTTCATGTACATGAAATTGTTTTCGGAAAATTCATTACATAAGATCAAGTGCAAGAAACTGTATAGGTTCATATACTAGAAAAATCCGGAAAATTGCTTGAGGATAAACTCGCACACGTTCATGTACGAGTTCACTTTTCGTTTTAAATGTTGACCCTAAATTATAATGCATGATCTTGTATGTGGTCAGCTATAGGGTTATTTTACTTTTTCGAAACTACACACATGATCCTGCACGTGAAAATGTACTAGAAAGAATGTAGTGCAGAAACTACACGTTAATTTATACAAGAACATGTGCCTGTTCTTGCACACGTTCTCTCACAAGAAGAAATTTTGTCCATGATCACACACAATTTCCTGTGCCTTTAAATTCAATAATTTTTGGTTATGTACATGAACTTGTACAAGTTCTTGTGCGAATAAAATTTTCGTGCATGATCATGTGCGAGTTCATGTACGTTTTCACTGTTCCAATTCCCGCCACTTGATCATACACAAGAACTTGTACAGGAACGGATCCGTGATCCTGCACATGAGAATGTGCGTGTTCGGGTACATGATCTTGTACAGGGATTTTCAGTAGGGGTGGGCGTGGCTAATTCTTCCGTTTGCAACAAAGAGCAACAAAGTTCATTTCGGACTGAGTATAAAACAATTTGAAAGCTTTTGAAATTTAATTATTTATAAAATTTCTCCTTTTTTTCGTTATTCAATGTTTATTATTTTTTTAAACTTCTTATAAAATTAGTTTTCTTCAATATATCATTTTTCATTTATCGATTTATTCGTACTTCACTGATATTTATCTTAAATCAACTTTTCTTAACACAATTTCTCACTTATGGATTTTATTCATCATCTTAAAACTTCATTATCAATTTTCGGTAATCGTTATAATACATTATAACTAAATTTTTTTTTATGTTGTAGAACAGCAGCGAAAAAAAAATAATACTCCAATCATATCAGGAAGGCTACTTTCGAATTTTTGAAAATGTTCAGCGAATACGATTTAATGACATTGAGGAAGGCGCTCGAAGACTCTGCACAGTACATGACAAGGGAAGTTAAAGACGAACATGTGGCGATCTGCATCGGAGCAACAAGAGCTGGGAAAAGTACACTAATTAATTACTTAATAGGCAACAGACTGAAAGCCGTGCGAGTGACGCGAGTTCAGCCAGTGACAATAGTCAAAGCAGACAATGAATCAAGTGGACCGGAAATTGGTGCTGGATCGACATCAAAAACCACAATACCCACAAGGTGGACATCGAATAATTTACCCGACCTAGTCATCTGGGACGCTCCCGGCTTTGACGACAACAGAGGAGCAGTGCAAGACATCACCAATGCATTCTATCTCTACCAATTGGTGCAAAACGTTAAATCTCTAAAAGTCGTTTTAGTTGTCGACATCAATGACATTCTTCACGATAATATTAAACATTTCCTGACAGTCTTAAAAGCTGTCGAAAGTCTATTGGGCAGCAGAATGAAGTCACTATTCTCGGCGATTTCAGTAATTTTCACAAAGGTGCCAAATACTCTCGAAGATATTCCCGTTGACATGCAATTTATAAACGAAAAATTAACATACCAATTTCTATCCAGCAACGACTTGGAATTATCACAAGTTTCCGTAGACTTTGTTCGGTATTTAATGGCAAACAACAATCAAGTAGCTTTCTTTAGAAGAACTCAAGACGCTGATGTAACTTCAGCAATTGATGTAAATATTTTTCCCGTCATTAAAAATTCCGCAAGCATTCTAAGAACCACTCTTCAAGAACTACGTCCTAGCATTTCAGAATCATCAAAGCTCTCTTTATTCCACGGCAGGGAGAAATTAATCTCAAAGACATCATTTACTGATTTAGAAAATGCAATCAGTGCTTTATGTCAGAGCAAGATACAAGAAGTAGAATCATTGGTAAACAATAATCCTGAAACAGAGCAGAAAATAATGAATCTCAAGAGAAAGCTAACTATTATTGAATCAAAATTAATGAATGCCATTCTTTACGAAGTTGATTTTTTCAAAAAACTTGAAATTCTCGAATCAATTGATATTGAAATTGAAAACAAAATTAATGAGCATAATTTGATAGGAAAAGTTAAACTCATGGAATTTGTTGATAAATTATTGGACCTCGAAGAACTTACGATATTGGCACTTAATGTTCAAAGTGTTTTATTGTCATCAGTTTCAAAAGTGAAAGAGGCGATTTCTTTAACGAATGTAAAATTAGACGAAATATCACATCAAAATCATGTCGAAATGATGAAACTTGAACAGGAAGAACACGAAAAAGAAGTTAAGGATTTAGAGAAAAAAATACAAGAATTAACTGACTTGAATGATACAAAGAAGGGTTTTTTTCAGCATTTCGAGACATGCCCGGAAAGTATAATCGACGCTGTACTTTCACAGGGAGCTTTCTCACTCAGGAATTTAGGTTCGAGCGCAGCGTCGGTTATGCTTCCAATGCCCTTACTTAAGAGCCCTGTATTAAAGGACCAGGCAGGATTAGTAGAAATTGATCATGGATCTTCTGGTAACTACTTCCTTTCCAAATTAAAAAGCATTTTCCCTTAGCGATTCGACTGATCTTAACCTGGAAATCCTATTCATGTAACTCAAACAGATATTCAAGAAAAATTAAATCATCTTTATCTTGGATTGCCCATTTTAATTTTTGTTGGGACTTGTTAAAATCTTGTAAAAAAAACTTTAAACAATAATTTTCACTGTAAGTATTTTATGTTTTTATACAATATAGTTTACTAATACAGGCTTCGCACTCTTCTACTAAAAGCTACTTTTTGGCTACTTTTTTTAGCCTAATGCTACTAACAGCCACTTTTCTGAACAAATAGTAAAATTTAGATTTTTAGTTTTTACATTTCCATTTAACCCTTTAAGGACCAAATGTATAAAAATTTTATCCGAACTTTGGAAGAAATTTTTAGTATGAGAACAGAGTGCTAAAAATTTTGCAATAGACATTTCTTAAAGCTCAGGAACCGCTCTTTCGAATGCTGCAATAAAAAATATTGAAAATTTATAAATAAACAAATTACATACAGTTATTTAAAAAAAACAATTTTTTAAAGATTTTTTTTTGAAAATCAAATTTTTTTATTATTTATGGCGAAGGAATACGTCTCAAAGGTAAAAATATCGCGTCAAAAATGTCTAACCTAAAATGTTGTAAAATAAAAATTAAAAAAAAACAAAATGGCGGATCAAAAATGGCGTTCAAAGTTGACTTTTTAATAAATAATATACAGCAAGTGCACATTTGTTAAAAACCTCACAGATTCGCTTGAAACTGGTTACTCGGGGGTTTTTGGGGTCGCTGATTACGAATATGATAATAGTTTTTAAAAATTAAAAATGGCGAATCCAATATGGCGGACATTTTTTTCAAAATTTCATCGGATTCGCTTGAAACTGGTTACTAGGGGGATTTTAAGGTCGCTGATTACGAATATGATAATTGTTTTCAAAAATTCAAAATGGCGGAGACTTTTTTTAAAAGTCTCCTTCTTCTTCAAAAGTCTTTTTTACTTCATCGGATTCGCTTAAAACTGGTTAGTCGGGGGTAACCAAAATTTGATTTTCAAAAAAAAATCTTTAAAAAATTGTGTTTTTTTGTAAATAATTGTATGTAATTTGTTTATTTATAAATTTTCAATATTTTTTATTGCAGCATTCGAAAGAGCGGTTCCTGAGCTTTAAGAAATGTCTATTGCAAAATTTTTAGCAATCCGTTTTCATACTAAAAATTTCTCCCAAAGTTCGTATAAAATTTTTGTACATTTGGTCCTTAAAGGGTTAAAGGGTTATGACATTCTAGAGATCGAAAAAATAGGTGTTTTTTGAGAATTTTTTTTAAAGCAAACCACGAAGGCAATCACAATTATGATCTGAGGAGTTTATTGTACATTTGTTAAAGTGTAAAAATTATAAATATTATAAAATTTTATTGAAATTTGTGGCGCTGATTTTTCTAATCTGGTTTTTGGCGCGAAGGGTCAGTATAGTTTCCAATTATCATTATTTCCATTCAACTTGAATTCTCCCGCGCTTCTTGTATGCGTAAAAAAGCAGATTTACATTATGGTCACAACTGAAAAGATATTTTCGTTCTTCATAATCAGTTGACGTGTTGCGCAAAATATCGGCACTACTTTTTAAATCGTGCAAAAAATAAAAAATACTTTTAATAATATATCAAAGTGTAATTAGCATTAAATTTTTTTAGTTTTCACTCTCAGCCTTAAAGCAGTTTTACGTAGAAGGAAGTGAAGTCATTTCATCCTCTAATCTACATTAGTAAGTGATTTTAAATTCTTCTCTCTTTGCGGTAACTTTTTTATTCTTGCCTTATCGTAAGGTGTGGCTTTGGTTAGCAACAAATAAATTGCATTAATATGATTATATTGCTATACGTAAAAAAAAGATATTTAATCTTTTAAAATTTCCATGGAATAAGAAAAAAAGATACAGTAACTATCCGTTATTTACCCTACAGAAAATAAATATTGACAAAAACGAATTTATCTTCAATAATTCTAAAAATAGTTTTCGCGTTTACTGATTGAACTGTCGTCGACCAAAGAGATACTTTTACGCTTTACTATATGTGAAATTATTTCAGATGTCCGCAAGTGACATACCACGAACTTATAAACTTTTAAAAAATATTAACGATATAGTTAAAGTTTTTACAGTGAGTTTACGAAATATTTTTAAAAAAACTTTTATAATATAAAAATTATTTTAATGCACTTCTGATTCTATCCTGAACTTTCTTTTAAAGGAAAGCATTTTAAAATTGAAGGTATGAATATTCTCGAAATCTTATTTGACGAAAACACATTTAACATAAATTTAAATAGATATTGACTACTTTAAACAAAATAATGAAAATATTTAATATAACACACTGGTAAATTTTTCTTTTTGTTTACTTTCTTTTTACATATAAGTTAATTGAAATTAAAAAAAATTTAAGTTAAAGATAAATTTAAAAAAAAATAAATAAATAAAAAAAAATTAAAAAAAAAATTTTTTTTTAAATTTTTATTATTTTATTTTTTATTTTTTTTATTAATTTTTTTTTTAAATTTAAGTTAATTTAAATTTAATTTAAATTTTTTTAATTTTAATTAAATTTTAATTTAAATTTGAAATCCTTCTGAAATTCAATTATTTATAAAGATTGTAAAAACTCTTAGAAAATTGGATTACTTGTAAAAGTTTCAACTAAAATTATTAAAATTTTGCAATTTTCTAAAACTGCAATTCAAAACGTTTCGAAATTCAAATACTGATAAAAACTTTTTTTAAATTTCAATTAAAAATCATTTGAAATTGAGTTATTGGTAAAAAATTATAAAATTTCAATTTGAAATGCTTTGAAATTTAATTATTTATAAAAATTATAAATTTCAATTTGAAATCATTTGAAATTCAACTATTTGTTAATTTTCTATAATTTTCATCTGAAAACTTCTGAAAATCAATTACTTATGAAAATTTCAAAATTCAAACTTTATTAAATTCAAATATTTATAATTTTTATTTTTAATTTCAATTGAAAATTATTTGAAATTGAATTACTTATAGGAAATTTTTAAACTTTAATATAAACTCTTAAAAATTAAATTATTTATAAACATTATAAATTTCAATTTAGATTTTTTTTTTGAATTTCAATTTGAATTTTTTAATTTAATTATTTATAGAAATTTCTAAAATTTCAACTTAAAATCATTTTGAGATTTCATTATTTAAAAAAAATTTTTATTTTAATTTGAAATGCTTTAAAATTTAATTATTTATAAAAATTATAAATTTCAATTTGAAATTCTTTAAAATTTAATTATTTATAAACATTATAAAAAAAACCTTTCGAACTTTGATTATTTATGAAATTTTTAATTAGAATTATTCAAAATTTGCAAAATTTTAATTTGAAACCTTTCTGAAAATTCAATTATTTAGCAAAATTTCAATATTAAAATCATTTAAAATTAAATTATTTCTCAAAATTTATAAAATTTTAATTGGAAACCTTTGAAATTCAATTATTTATAAAAATTATAAATTTCAATTTGAAACCTTTTGAAATTCAATTATTTATAGAAATTTCTAAAAATTTTAATTTGAAATTCAATTATTTATAAAATTTTAAATAATTTTGATTTTTTATGAAAATTTCTAAATTTCTAAACTTTCAATTTGAAATCATTTGAGCTTCAATTATTTAAAAAATTTGTTAAATTTTAATTTGTAACCTTCTAAAATTTAATTATTTATCAAAATCACAATATTGAAATAATTTAAAATTCAATTATTTATAAAAATTATAAATTTCAATTTAGAACCTTTGGAAATTCAATTAATCACAAAAACTTATAAAATTTTTATTTGGAACCTTGTTAAATTCAATTATTTATAGAAATTTCTAAAAATTTGAGCTTGAAATCATTTGAAATTCAATTGTTTACAAAATTTTCAATAATTTTAATATGAAAACTTCGGAAAATCAATTATTTATGAAAATTTAAAAATCTTAATTTGAAGCCTTTGAAGTTTATTTATAAAAATTTTTGATTACTAAATTCAATTTAAAAACATTTGAATTTCAATTACTTATAAAAAATTTACAAATTTTAATTGGAATCGCTTTGAAATTTAATTATTCATAAACATTATAAAACCAAACTTTAAAAACTTTAATTATTTTTGAAATTTTCAATTACAATTAAAAAAAAAAAAAAATTTACAATAAAATTTTTTTTAAAATTTGCTAAATTATAAATTTTCAATTTGAAAGCTTTTGAAATTTAATTATTTATAAAATTTCTCCTTTCTTCGTTATTTAATGTTTATTATTTTTTTAAACTTCTTATAATTAGTTTTCTTCAATATATCATTTTTCATTTATCGATTTATTCGTACTTCACTGATATTTATCTTAAATCAACTTTTCTTAACACAATTTCTCACTTATGGATTTTATTCATCATCTTAAAACTTCATTATCAATTTTCGGTAATCGTTATAATACATTATAACTAAATTTTTTTTTATGTTGTAGAACAGCAGCGAAAAAAAATAATACTCAAATCATATCAGGAAAGGCTACTTTCGAATTTTTGAAAATGTTCAGCGAATACGATTTAATGACATTGAGGAAGGCGCTCGAAGACTCTGCACAGTACATGACAAGGGAAGTTAAAGACGAACATGTGGCGATCTGCATCGGAGCAACAAGAGCTGGGAAAAGTACACTAATTAATTACTTAATAGGCAACAAACTGAAAGCCGTGCGAGTGACGCGGGTTCAGCCAGTGACAATAGTCAAAGCAGACAATGAATCAAGTGGACCGGAAATTGGTGCTGGATCGACATCAAAAACCACAATACCCACAAGGTGGACATCGAATAATTTACCCGACCTAGTCATCTGGGACGCTCCCGGCTTTGACGACAACAGAGGAGCAGTGCAAGACATCACCAATGCATTTTATCTCTACCAATTGGTGCAGAACGTTAAATCTCTAAAAGTCGTTTTAGTTGTCGACATCAATGACATTCTTCACGATAATATCAAACATTTCCTCACAGTCTTGAAAGCTGTCGAAAGTCTATTGGGCAGCAGAATGAAGTCACTATTCTCAGCGATTTCAGTAATTTTCACAAAGGTGCCAAATACTCTCGAAGATATTCCCGTTGACATGCAATTTATAAACGAAAAATTAACATACCAATTTCTATCCAGCAACGACTTGGAATTATCACAAGTTTCCGTAGACTTTGTTCGGTATTTAATGGCAAACAACAATCAAGTAGCTTTCTTTAAAAGAACTCAAGTCGCTGATGTCACTTCAGCCATTGATGTAAATATTTTTCCCGTCATTAAAAATTCCGCAAGCATTCTAAGAACCACTCTTCAAGAACTACGTCCTAGCATTTCAGAATCCTCGAAGCTCTCCTTATTCCACGGCAGGGAGAAATTAATCTCAAAGACATCATTCACTGATTTGGAAAACGCAATCAGTGCTTTATGTCAGATCAAGATACAAGAAGTAGAATCGTTGGTAAACAATAATCCTGAAACAGAGCAGAAAATAATGAATCTCAAGAGAAAGCTAACTATTATTGAATCAAAATTAATGAATGCCATTCTTTACGAAGTTGATTTTTTCAAAAAACTGGAAATTCTCGAATCAATTGATATTGAAATTAAAATCAAAATAATTGAGCATAACTTGATAGATAAAATTAAACTCATGGGATTTGTTGATAAATTATTGGACCTCGAAGAACTTACGATATTGGCACTCAATGTTCAAAGTGTTTTATTGTCATCAGTTTCAAAAGTGAAAGAGGCGATTTCTTTAACAAGTGTAAAATTAGGCGAAATAACACATCAAAAGCATATGGAAGATATGCAACAAGAACAGGAAAGACACAATAATGAAATTAAGGATTTAGAGAAAAAAATACAAGAATTAACTGCCTCGAATGATAAAAAAAAGGGTTTTTTCAAGACTCTTTTCAAGACTGTTACCAAACCTATCAAAGATGTCTGTAATTTTGTTGATGATGTTTTAGATAAAGCTTTTAAATCGTAAAAAAGTATTATTTAAAAACTATTCTTTACAAAATTCTATGATTCTAAGAATTACTCAATGAAATAATCATCAAAAATATGTAAAGTACGTTTTATTGCATGAGTATTGATGTCTAAAATAATTTTTTTTAATAAAATTTAATTACAACGGTTGTACAGCATTTTATTCGAAGAAGGCTTCTTTTTTTACATAAAAAATGTTAAACTGCATAGGACTAGGCAAAGAGCTGTAAGCATCAGGAAAATACAAACTTTTTTCAATAAATCGTAAAAAAAATTTCTAATTTTTCGCTTAAAAATATATAAAAATCACCAATTCCTTTTCCTGTATTTTTTCTGTAATCTACACGTGAAAATAAATAAAAATACCCAACGCCAGTCCAGTATATTAAGAATTATGAGAACTAGCAAGATTAAAATTATTATTAAAAATTTTAATTTTTCATTGAAAACACCATGAAGATGAATTCTAATCATTTTCGCTATATTTGTGCTGTAATTTACGCGTGAAAATACATAAATTCGCCAATTCCACGAATAACGAGGCGCGAAGCATTGCACACTTCCCTAGTAGAAATTTGTCGTGGCATGACTAGATTTATTCAAGTTACTGTACAGTTTTAGTCATGGAAGTTTAATCTAGCTTAACTGGCGAATTACTAGACAGCTACTGCATAACACTGTTAAAGAAAATATAAAGTTGAACTTGATTATTACTGCATAGAAGTCCTGTACAGTTATTTTCATGGCACTGTCGAGGCGTTCCGAGAAATGATGTTCCAAAGTTTGTCGTGGCGTTAGCGCTACCGCCAGTTTCAGTAACTAAACAGTTGTGTATTGACATTTTCGAAATATTTTCTATAAAATAAATCTTTTGGTTTTACAGTTTATAGTTTTTATAATTTTAATTTTGTTCTTTTATTTTACTGTTGACAACTAAATAACAAATTTTTTAAATTATTTAATATTAAAATTTTGATTTAATAATAAAAATTTCTTTTCAATCAAAATTTATTTTTAATGAAAATTCCTTTAGAAAAAAAAAATTTTTTTAAAATTCGCTTCAATTAATTGAGTTAATTAAAATAACTAATTTTTTAAATTCAGAAGACAATTTCTTTTCAAGATTATATACTCTTATTATATGTATAAATATTAATTTAACAAACCTGTTACATACAAAAAGTTAGAATTGGTCCAATAAAGTGAGGTTATGTTTTACATTGATGAATTGACGTTGACATATGTATAGCTCTCCGATCTGAATAACAGAACTGTCTATAATTAATGACAGTAGACAGTAACAATTTATTACTAATTCCTTACGGAAAAAATAGACATAATTCTAGTTACACCCGCGAATTATTTCTTTCAGTGTATACTCTGATGTATTTATGGAAAATGTCTACACAACACTGTTCAGTTGCTGGACTGACGGTAGCGCTAACGCCACGACAAACTTTGAAACATAATTTCACGGAACGCCTAGACAGTACCATGAGAATAACTGGACAGACAGAACTTCTATACAGTAATAATCAATAAGTTCAACTTTAGAGTGTTATGCAGTAGCTGTCCAGTAATTCGCCAGTTGAGCTAGAAAAGATGAAAAAGGGAACTGCTTTACCTGCCGGTAGAGTATGGTTCTTATTTTTCCGGAATCGTCCATCGACTAGAACGGCCGTGATGCGTAAAGCGTGCGTTTAGGTATTTCGTCCCAGTGTGACCCGAGTTCGCTCCCCGAAACCGCTAGATATTTTTCGTTTGAACTGAATTAATTCTTCATATTAGGGTTTACTTATAAGTTTGTAGTGTGATAAAATAATAATATTTATTTCAGTGTTGTGCTTAATTAAAGGAAAAAGTGAATGTTGTTTAATGTAAAAAAATGACATGTGTTCAAGAATCAGTAATTTTTATATTTTTTTTTAATTATGTAGTTATTTAAAAATAATTTTACAGATAATTTATTATAAATCATTTATTATACGGAACAATAGATACACCAACAGTAAAAATATAGTTTCGTAAAATTTTAATTTATTTAATTTGTTGACAAAAAAATTTAACGTTATATTTTCAAATTTGTACGTGTTTAATACGTAACGTCAATATAAAGAAAGTTTTGACATTTCCAAGTGAATTATTTTGTATAGTTTTTCTACAGGACTGATGATCAGAAACTGTAAAATTTGACTGGACAATAACTTGAAGAAATTAGCGTGACATCACTTTATAGTTTTTAGCCAGTTTAACTGTAAAGTGCCTCGAAATTTTCCAGTGGAACTGTCCAGTGCCCTTAAAGATACTATGACAAATTTCTACTAGGGTTGCGTCAACCCTCACCAAAATTACGAAAAATCATCTACCAACCCATAATAACAAGCTTACATTTTGAGTTAAAAAGAAAATAAATATTTATTTCTATTTAAAGAATTTATAGGGGAAAACTTTTCTTTTTGGGGGAAAATTTAAATTAAACTAGGGAAAACTGTATTAGTCACGTGGTCACACTATAAAGGTACTGCCACAGTTCTTTATCGACAGCTGCCTGCGCAGGCAGCCGGCCTCAATTAGGCAGAAGATTTAAATTAATATTTTTTTAAATTAAAATTATTATTAAAACTGAATAAAAAATACTAATTATTATAATTTTTATTATTATCTTTAATTTAATTTAATTATTACAATTAAAAATAAAAAATTATTAATTTAATTTTAATATTAATTTAAATCTTCCGCCTAAATTAAGGACTGTGGCAGGACTTTAAATGAGTTATAAGGGTGCAGTCCCATGACACCGTTTTGCGTTGCGTTTTGTAACTAGGCCATGAGTGTGAGAGAGATGAAGATATATGTTCGCTATATTTGCACTCATGGCCTAGTTACAAAACGCAATGCAAAACGGTGACATGGGACTGCACCCTAAATCCATGACTGTTTTCGGCATGGTCATCTCATGGATTGCGATCCAGATCACAAAGTAACCAATCACAACATAGGAAAAGTGATCTGGATCGCGATCCATGACCATGCAGAAAACGGCCCATGTGAGAGATCGAAAACTGCCATGTGCCATTTCTTCTTGAACAGTCTTTGAGAATAACACGTTATCTTTGTGCTTATAAATCATTAAACGAAAATTGAATTAATTGTTTATTTGAGTTCGTTAATAAAGTTGATTAATAAAGGATATATTTTTCATCAAGTTGAATTGGTGGGTAAGTACTATTCATTATAATATTAATTCCTGCATGAAGAAAACGAATTGTTACGTTGAATAAAAAATTGTTAATACAGAACTAACATATTTAGTTTATTGTCCTAACAAGTCAAATTTTTACTAATAACACTAAATCTGTTGTGGTAACAAAAAATGTAACAATAACATACGAAATTTGTTGCTTTTATATTAGCAATTCTTTTTTTCTCTGGCTGTTTTCGGCGTTCTTCCCCGGATTAACTCCGATTTAATGATGGTCCAATCATTTATAACAATTACTTTATTTATATAAATAAATTTATACAATTTAATTTTAGTAATAGTAATTGTACTATTTATACAATTACTACTTTATCACAATTAATCGGAATTAACTTGAGGGCATAAGAAAGCCGGATAGTTCTCGAAGTTTCTTTCGAACTGCGTCACACTCCTAGGGTGGGGGGATGGGGTCAAAATTAGTCCGAAAAAGCGTGACGTAGTTTATGAATGACCCCTTAGGGGACGTCCGTAAGCTACGTGGACCCATTTTTTGGAAATTTTGACCCCCTGCACCCACTTAGATGAAATTACATGTATTAGCGCCATTTTTTCTCTTATCATTGCCTATAATGGTTAATGTCGTCTATATTTCATATAATCTATTGATGATTTATCGTGTATTTATAAATATTAACAGAGTTGCCACGTAATTTTCATGACCTTGAAAAAACCTGGAAAGTCAGGGACTTTTGATTAGAATTTAAAATTTTTTAATTCTGTTGTTTCAAGATAATTGAATTTTTATAAACAAATAATTAAAATTTCTTTCTATAGGTAACTATTAAAAATAATTTACTTTTTTTAAAGAAATTTATTTTAAATATTTCGAAAATAATCAAGGAAAGTTAGTCACCGTAATTATAATATTTGACTTTTCAAAAATTTCTTCGCAAATATATTCAATTATTTTCATAAATAGCAAAATTCTTCGCAGATTTACTAAATTCTTTTAAATATTATTTTCAAAAAATATTCTTTACAAGCATTCAATTATTTTCATAAATTTCCATAAAATTCTTAAAAAAAAACAATTCAATTATTTTCAAAATTAATAAAATTCTTCGCAGAAATTCAATTATTTAAAAAAAAAATCTAAAAAAAACTCAACATTTTAATTATTTTTATAAATGAATAGGAAAATTCTTCGACAAAATTAAATTACTTTCAGGAATTTTAATAAAAATTCATTGTAAAAAATTCATTACTTCCATAAATAACAAGAATTCAATTATTTTCACAAATTTTTCTTGATTCAATAATTTGTCAATTTAATATTTTAATGAAATTTCCAAAAAGAATTCAATTATTAAATAACAATTTTGACAAAATTCTACACGAATATTCAATTATTTTCTAAAAGAATGAAAATTTCATAGGAATTGAAATATTAAAAATAGAATTTTATCTAAATTTTCTTTAAAAAAATCAATTATTTGAAACTCATTTTTTTTATAAAAACCTCGCAATAATTCAATTATTTACATAAATAATAAAACTCATTGCAGAATTTCAATTATTTTTTATACAATTTTAGTCGAATTTCTCGAAACATGTATTTATTCTTAGAAATTTGATTAAAATTCGTCGAATGAATTCAATTATTTCCATAAATAGCAAAATTCTTCAGATTTACGAAATTCTTTTGAAAATTCTTTTTACAAAAATTTTTCACAAGAATTCAATTCTTTTCATAAATTTCCATAAAATTCTTAAAAAAAAACAATTCAATTATTTTGAAAATTAATAAAATTAAAAAAATAATAATAATAATAATAATAATAATAATAATTTTTTAATTAATTTACGTTTAAAATTTTTTTTTTAATTTTCCTCAAAATTTCAATCATCTTTATAAATAATAAAATTCTTCTTCAAAATTCAATTATTTTCAATATTTTTTTAAATAAAATTCTTGCCAAAATTTCAATTATTTTCAAAAACTTTCATCATTTCAAACAAATTTTTTACAGAGATTTAATTATTTTTAATACAATTTTAATCTAATTTCTCGAAAAATGAAATTATTCTTAAAAATTTTATGGAAATTCATGAAAAGAATTTTAATTACCAATTTAAAAAATTTGTTGATAAAATTCTTTAAATGAGAATTACAATTGTTTTAATAAAATTCAAAGTTTTTTAAAAATAAAGGAAAAAATGTTTATAAATTCTATTTGTCAATTGCAAATAATAATTGAAAATGAAAATTTTTGAATTTTTAGAAAGTAGAGGAAAAAATGTTACTCAAAAAAAAAATGTTCCGTTACATTTTTACGAATTTCTTTAAATGTATAATATTATTCAAAAACATTAATAATTTCTTTTTTAAAGAAATATTTAATTATTATTATTTTTCCACAGGAATTAAGACATTCAAAAATTCCAAAT